CCCCCTCCCCCCTTCCCTGGATCCGCCTATGATTTTAATGGAGATCTTTGGCAGCCTTGTTGCTTCAAGACTTTGTTCAGCTGTTGTTTCATCACAGTGTTCCTTTCTGCTACCGCATTTTGTGCGTTTAGTTCGATGTTTCCGATCGAATTGATCCTTCTATCGAATAGGCTACCTTCTCTACCGTTTTTAGACATTGCATGGTGTCACTCGATAATCCGCTTTGTCCATCCGCTATTCTGTCATTTCTTTCCACATTACTGGCTTACACAGCCTTGATAATATCGCTCACATCTTAACAATACTTCAATTCTTAATTCGAATGTACTGTGGTTTCGGACTGAAGTGAGCGATTTTATTAAGGCAGTGTAAGCCACGTGATAAGATTACTAAAGTAGTTCTGGGCAGAAACCTGAGAGACTAATAAGTTTCATTTTATGCTTTTGCACGAAGCTTGAATTGCATTGGTATGTCATTAGCAGTCTGCAGAACTGCATAATCAGAGCAATCCTGAAATTCGACGTGTTCAGTCAGCACGAAATCGGAGAACTGAGGCTTAGATACTTAGGGATGGCTACTAATAATAAAAAAAAAAAAGAAAGTGAACTTTGTGATAAAGTTCTGGACTGCCCCACATTTCTCGAACAGCCATACGTTCGGTGAAATGCTCAGTGTCCGTATGGACAATAATTAGTAAAAATAATTCCGGGTATTTTCGCGTGCAGAAATCGCTATCAACAATAGTCCATTGATATTTATAGGGATCAAACAATTCCTGAAGTGATTACTCATTTATTATGAGTATCGGTTGAATAGGTTTTGATTTCTAATAGCTCAACTGTCCAGTCTTTTTCTTTGTTTTTTCTGCGAGCTTGACGCAGTAGGAGTAGTATTGTTGTCTTGTAGTAACATCAAAGGTTCGGTCTCGCTGATAAGACAAATGAATTTGTTTCGAATCCGCTTCGATAATTAGCTAGTAAAGAAATTTCGTAGTTGATTTCCTTTGATAAC